CTCAATGCATTAAACGAAGCTGCTCTGGTTCCCGCTGCGCCGCGCCCATGCGAAGAAATGCGGCAACCAGAACCAGTCTATACATGTACTGTACGTTCTGGTCGATTACTCGACATCGGCCATACATGCTTGCTACCCTAAAGCCACAGGTCAAAAAAATCGATGTTGCAAGAGGTTTTCTGTAAGTTCCTTCACAGAACTTGGTCTCTTATTTATGTGTGTATTTTCTGTGCTCATGAGTTTAATTTGAGTTTGTTTTGCTCGTACTTGAAGCAAGCGTCTTTCAACAAATTTCCTACCGCGGCACAAGGTTTTTCGCCCACTGGTCTGGATGCCTTTACGCGTCACGCACGCTTACCACGCGATACATACATTGTTGGCCACTTTGCCGTCGTGATTGCCTGAGTCACACTGTGTGAATTGCCCATAATTCTTGTGAATTGTTACCTGTAGAAATTTTTACATTGATTAAGACAGGTGTTCATCACTTCTTGAGATAATTTTGGAAGCTGTCGTCCCCGTTCATGCCATTCAAAAAGGACTAAAGAAAATTGACCCCCGCCCCCAAATTTTTCCAACCTACCGACCTTATGTTTAAGAGGCATGTAATTGGAAGCAGAACTATTTTTGGGGCCTAATAAAAGACTGCATGCATGCAGTAGGCCTAAGTTAAATAACCATAATATTCGTGGATTCCGAGAAATCTTGGGCAAGTGTTGATCAAATTCGGGCAAGGAAATTTATTGCATGGCCTGCCCGATCGGGCAAGCTAAAAAAAAATCGTCGCGGCCTGGGGACATAAAACGCCAGTTTTTAACAGCTTAAAATGTGAATTCCATTATTTTCCGCCAGTACTCTATTTTGCCGACGCAATTCAAATCTCATGTTGTAAGTGGTTAATTTAAGCTGATATTACGTATAACTTGCAAAGTGGATTATCACTTGATTGCGACACCCAAAATAATAAGTTGAACGTATACCGCGCACCCAGCGTTCCCAGGCGCAAGCGCTGTATGTACGTACACGCACGTGCGTGCGCAGTTCGATCTCTTTCCGCGTCCCCCGGCCCCGCCGCCCCCGCACGTACGTACGTCTCGACGCTTCGCGGCGCTATACGATCTTTGCTAGTCATGGCTGTTGCAAATGTAGATACATGTAAATCGGACTGATAGAAGTTGCATTTATTTGTTTTTTACACAGGTTCGTACATATAACGTGCATAGATATTTCAAGATCACGGATGGGCGATAATTTTCTGAAAAATAAGGTTTGTTAACAGTATTTCAACCATTTCTGTCCCAGTGTTGTGTTATAGAAGTTGACTTGCCACTCCTTACGTCACTGCGTATGACTTGAACACGTGTATGTCATCGATCGTTAAAATAATAATGTGCAGTCAATACTGTACACTTTATAAACGCGTGTATAAACTAAAAGTGTACAAAAAGTGTTACAGCCTGTACACGCGTTTAGGCGGTTAAGCAAAACACATAAACGGGTTCATAATTAAAAATGTTTAAAACTAAACTAAACTCATCCATGTATTTAATTATAAACACACGTTGCGTTTATTAATAAAAGTGGGTTCAGCATATGAACATGTTGTATGTGTTTATTTATAAACGTGTCAAGATGTTTAAAAAGTGTTGCAGCTTTTGTGTTCAATGTGCGTGAAGTTAGACGCTTGAGTTTTACCATGTAGTGCGGGGAACTTGTACGAGTCTAGTTGACTTTTTGGGGGGTGGTTGTGTTTTTGATTCAATTTTGAGGGGGCAATGCAAGAATCTTTGGTTTATTCTCAGTGTTTCACTTAGCATTGAATACTTTGTGCTTTTATTTCAGGAACCAATGAGAAAATTTCTCAAGCTTGCTCAAGTAAGACTCGAATCCATAATCTCCTGTTTCCTAGTATACCCTTCTTAAACTATCAGACTGACACTCATGCGGTCAGTTGGCTATTTCGGACCAAATCACTCGGCCAACAATCTTGTGGTCATGCAGCTAGCAAGATCACACCAAAGAAACCAACACTGTTCAGTTGGCCAGAGTACACCAAACTACTCAAAAACCTTGTGGTCACTTGGCCAAATTAAACAAAACCACTCAACTAATAATCCTATTTTGGACAAGACCAACATTTTGTGCTTCACTATCTGCAAACTAACTGCCACTTTTTATATATGAAGTTTATATATATAAGAAAAACTTAACATTTCTTCAAACATAACATTTCTTATAAAGTATTTCATATAAAGTTAATTTCAATATTCTACGGCAGTAATTCATCCAAATAATTATTCAACAACACTGATTTTGTCAATAAAAACCTTGCCCTCACTTATGGAGGTTTCTTGAGCAACTGTTGAACAACTCCTGAACTTCCCATTCATTATCACACTCTCAATCATCATTCACGTAATCAAGGAATATGTTTGATTTTAGTTAAAAGCAGTGTATATAAAATTATGGCAATAACCATACAAACTCTATCAGTACTAATTCATATAATTAAATGTATTTCATAATTTAACAGATCATACATTTTCAGGGTGTCTTTAAAAAGAGAGCTGGGATAAATTTATTTATTAAATTCTTTATTTTGGTAATTGGTAATTCATCACCTGTTTCATTATGATAATCCTCTTTCGTACTACATCAAGAAATCCACATTTCCGCCACAGATGACTGAGCACGAAGTAGTTTAATGGACTATAAGTGAGAAATTACTTTGCACCAAGTAGCTGTTTTGATCTTGAACTTGTTCTGTCCAGAGATAGCTACTTTGTCGGAATGACGTAATGTTTGCTAGAATTTCCAAAATGCATGTTAACCACTTGTAAGCGATGAAAACAAGGGTAGAACTTGGTGTTGAAGAAATGGGGGCCATGTTGTAGAAACACTGGGGTTAGGTTGTGGCAAGAATAAGCCCCAAACCGCAGCTGCCTTGCATTAATGATTTTGTTACATGTAGTGCACTTTAATGCTTTACGCTGTGCAAACCTGTGATGCATCTGGTGCAAACATTTCTTACACGTCCACTAAACCACTTTGTGCTTGAAATGGATTTATTGGTGTCATACGAAAGCAGACATGATACTGAAGCAGATTATATTTACCAGTCATATTCAAGAAAAAGATTACTTAATCTCGGTTTCATTTTTTGTAAGACAACCGATATTGTATAATTCCGAGCGTGCAGTGTTTGAAATACGCGGGCGATTGACTTTACGTTTATGTATATTCATCCTCAATAGCCAGTCATTTTTGTGTTCTACATGACCACGGGCTAGTGAAAATGCACACACATCCCATGGATTCGAGGTTGGGTCCCCGTCAATTCGTTTGGAGAACCGTAGGACGGGACAGGAACCAGTCTATCGTGTATGGTCATACGCCACGTCTAGTATGCAGCACAAATGCGCGTAGGGCTGTGCTCAATATCAGAATATTCAAATATTCGATCGATTATCGAATATGTGATATTTATTTTTCGAATTCAACTATTTAAATGCAAAATTCATGAAACTGAAGTAAGAATTTTCTTTTTTTCAAATAAGACAAATCGCACTATTTTGTTTCAAGCAGATTCCAGACATTTAAGGCAGCTGATATTAACAGTTCAATGTAGAATCCATCCTGGTATTTGGAAACGGCTTCTTAACAAATAAATATGAACGCGCCAAGACAGTATTCTTTGTAATACTAATGTATTGATGTAAACTTTGTTGAAATAAAATGATGAACCCTTCATGACAATATTTCAACTTCAAATTGAATGATTAGACTCGGGAGGTTCGCAGAGGAAAATGGCCGCATCAGACAAAATTTTAAGTGGTCTCTCGGCAACCACAAATTGTGATGTTGATGAAGCTTTTTGTTACTAAATCTTTACTAAATCTTGGCTGGAAATAGTCCTAAAAATGAGATATCCTAGTATAATAGTTATGCCTGTGCAATTGTATGCATAATTATTGCGACTGATTTTGTATATGGTTTGTTCATCAACAATCTGTCGGTCGATACAACCTAATATTCGACTATTCAATTGAACTGAAAGTCGAATATTCGAATAATCAATTATTCGAACTGACTCAGTCCGAATGTGCGGATCGCTTGTCAAGGGAGAGGCAAGATCGTATCATGGGTTTGTAGCTCTGTGATCGTACAGTCAGTAGGCATGGTATAGGCCTACAAAAAGTACAATAACGTCTGAGAGCCGAATGCAGCTAATCCCTAACAACTGTGTAGACGGATGTTGGAACAGTGCCGCAGGCAGGATTAAGCGACGGTTGACGGGGGGGGGGATTGTATCGTATCGCAGCAGGCATATAACTATTTCTTTTGAAGAGCTCCGTCAGGTTAGTCCAGGTAACTGGGACCCCACTAGCATTTGGAACATTGAATCCAGAAAATTAGAAAAAGAGGAATACTACACTAAAAAGGCTACATGTAGGCTTTTACTCGGACTATTTTAGATTAATTGCAACACATTAATTAATCTCCTCACTTGTTTCTTAATTTTTCTTGCCTGCGATATTTTTCTTTAAACATTTCTGTCATTCGACACTCGTGAAAGCACCCCTGCACTATTTCAACGAGCGCCCTCTGGTACAAAGGCTAAAAAGGCAGTGGAGCAAGACCGGGTGTTTTCTAAATGAAATATTAATAAGATTATTTATTTACCCAAAAATAGTAGTACCAAAACTCTTCGGAGAGAAAAACACCTCAAAATAAAACCGTGGATGTCGGGACCGTGAGTAATGCTTTGGGTATGTTTTGTCCCCCCTTATCACGGTGAATAAGCCTGAAGCCGCGTTTGTTTGGAATTCCCCTACACCACCAAAAGCCGGGTACGCAACTGATTGGATCTCCCGTCCAATGGGTTTAATTCTTGAGTAAATACTTCAATGGCATCACATTCATTTCTTGTTCGATAAAATACTTACTTTAGCATTACAATCTTATTTATTGTTCACAGGATCAAGACATACGCTTATTTTAAACCATTTCTTCGTTTCAGGAAAGGCAACAGCACAATCTTTATTCTACCAATATTTAAAATCACTTCATACGTGAATAAAACATATCTGATAAAAAGATTGCACAATGCCACAACATGTAATCTGTCTGTTGTTATTTACAGTTTGTAATAGCCTCTCACTACAGAGACCTGTTAAAATTATCGATGCCAGTGATTACTTGACATCAGAAAAGGAAGAAAAGAAAATCTTAATTGTCAATTGATAAAAACATACATTCGATTTTCACAATTACACATAAGGTCTGAGGCATAAACGTAACCTTTTACAAGAAAGACAAGCGAGTACAGTATAATTCTATTTTTAAAATTCAGTGATGATATTTCAGACACAAAATAATGATTTGGCAAACTCTTAAAAAACAACGGTTGACAATTTTCTTGGGTTGCAATTTGTTTCTTTGTTACAGGAAAATGCAGTCCTTCAATTATCTCACAGCACTGTAGTAAATTGCCACTTGTAACTCTGCTTTCTTTTTTATTTCATATTTCTTCTTTTTAATTTAATATTTCTGCCTTCAAACAACGAATGACTTATGAAAAAGTCGACGTGGATTACATAACGTATGATTACAGATTTACTCATAGTATAGTACTGCGTATGCACATGATAAAAGACTTTTGAGATACATGTTAATTTTACCGCTCCCTAAACTATGAAGTACATGTACATAGACAACTTCATATATTTATTTAGAATCTCAAAACAAAGTTACATAAACTATTTTACCTTCCAGCATTGCAACAAATGCACAGCAATACTAACTTACTCATTTCACTTGCCAACTAGTGCTAGTGGACCACACATATGGGCCCGTTGCCAACATTAAGAGTTCAGGGTGAAAATAGGTATGGTTGAATGCGTTACATTCACAGAACACATGAGATTTTAAGTTACTCTATTAGGCCTACCAAGTAAAATTCAGTTCCCAGTACAGATAAGGCATAGAAAGATTGGGAAAATATGTGTCTATGATCGTTGTAGCTTTCTTTTATTTTCTGGCATGAGAAATAGGAGCAAGACAGGGAGAATAAGCTCAAATGCAAGAAACACTCTCATTGTATGTGAATTGACAGCCCCGCCCCATGTGGGGGGGGAATTCCCTTTTGTTCGTAAGGTTATTTGTTATTCATTTACGTAATACGTCAATATGTAGAGTTTGTTTGCAAGCACAAGGTGGAATTCCTTGGTAATTGAACCATTCTTTGATTCAAACTGCTGTTGATTGAGTAAACCTCCATTACCCATTCCTCTTGAGATTGTAATTAGCCTTTTATAGAATGAGGGGCCAGTGTTTCATCTGAACGCGATATTATTGTATTTTACTGTTCATTGTAAATAAGGATTTAAAAACTTAAGCCCTGATCTTTAGCCTTATTTCTTTGTCTCCCTATAAATGAACACAGTCGGTTGAATTAATATTACTACTTCACCTTCAATGATGAAGAGGGTCAACACGTTAGCAGAAAAATGCAGAAGAAAGCTCAGTGGAGACTAACCCACAACAAAGTTTGTGCACATTCAGATGAAATCAAAAGGTTTGTGCACATTCAAAGGTATCGCTAACTTGCACTATGTGATTTAGTTGATGCAGTATTCTGAATGGTCAGAGACTCTGCTGGCGGGTAGGTAGGGTCAGTAGAATTTCTACAGGCCAGTGCTAGGTATGGATGGGAACATTGTGGGCTGAGCTGCAACTGTCTCATAGAATGGGGGCGGAGCCATGTTAGCTGGCCGAGTAGGGGCTGATGATTGTCCTAGCATAGAGGGCGCTACACTAACAGACTGTTGAGCTGGATGATAGTGGATGACTGGTGTAGCTGTGTTGGCTTCATTGGCTGGAATCTGAGTCCTTGAGGCCTGTCGAAAATAATAAGGTAATTTTTACTCTGACATCCTTTACATAAGAAATATGAATTGTTTTGGTTTTGAAATAAAAGCAAACATACATAGCATTGTTGAACCAGAATGATTTGGGACATGAATTCTACAGTACACAAATATACAATGGTTTATAACTACCATCATAATACCTCATTCAAAGATTCTGTTTTGATTGGCCGAGAGCCAATCACATGGCATTTGCTAATGGTAGCTACACATATTTTGCTGAAGTGGACGGCCAAAATGCCAAGAACTGTACACATTACCACTGGCATATTGATTTGTGCATTATGTGCATTCTGAAGTGTTAGCGCTAGAAACCTAGGCTCCGTATTAATGCATAAAGAGGTAATTTAGAAAACAAATTTCTCATTCTAGTGGATGTATCTCTTACATGTATTTCGATCAAATTAATCAGTTATTGCTTAACTTGAACAGATTCTGTGAGAAACGTGTGATAAAATTAATATGGACTGCTGTATCCATGAAGCATTCTGTAAGAAACGTGTGATAAAATTAATATGGACCGCTGTATCCATGAAGCATTCTGTAAGAAACGTGTGATAAAATTAATATGGACCGCTGTATCCATGAAGCATTCTATTGTAAAATAATATATTGTATTTTTCCAATACTCAGGAAGCTAAAATTGACTATTCACCAAAGATAAACCATGTTATATTTGTTTATACCTCAGACAGATTCAGTTTCTATATTACATGTTTATTTAACTGGTAGTACGTCTGCTTTTGTGATTTTCCTTTTTTTTTTCCTTCTTTTTTGTCATGAGCTGCCCGACTATATGTAATTGTGTTTTTAAGGATAAATACTTGAAACGGAAATTGCTAGAGGACAGGAGGGGCAGTTCATGCATGTGCTGTTGTCTGTTAATGTATAGCAGTGTTTGGTGTAAGTAGGGCTGAGTCAATTCAAATAATTCACTATTCGAATATTCAACTCGATTTGATCGAATATCCGAATATTCGTTTGTAACCTCTGGCAGATTATTGATGATTAAACCACACACAGAATCAGTTGCAATTACGCACACACAATTGTACATTATTATAACTATAATAGCTTCTCACATCTAGGAGTATCTCTCCCTTACATGAATTTTTGCATTCGAGTATTCAAATATTCGATAATCCATCAAATATTTGGATATTTGGCATAGCTCAAGGTGCATGCATACACCATCCAGGCAACAATTCACTGAAATAAAGGATATGAAAACCAAAACCCGATAGTTAGCAGTATTTATTTGTCTCCAAGTGAACATGAATTTTTTTCCATTTTTCCCAGGCAGAGGCAATTGCCACTCCCTCCCTCCTCAAGTTCAAAATAGCAAGGCATCTTACCCATTAACAACTGCAGATATTGAACTCGTATGCTCTCTAAACCAGCGAGTGTGCGCTACGCTCTTTGACCTGTGTGAACTTCCTTGCATGCGTGCACGGTAAATAGGAAAAATAGCAACTGGCATGTGATGAGGACCAGACCAGTGAGAGTCCAGCTCTCAGTCATAAATATGTATGAGGTATGGTAATTAGAATCGCTAAAATTGTGCGCAAAATTCAAGTCTCCTCCGTTTCTTCAAAACTTGTACATTCCTATAAACAATGCAAACTTCTGGAGCATGGAAGACACATATACCAACTTTTTATCTTATTCCAACAGAGAAGCAGAAAAAAATATACGGAGAGACTTGGAATTCAACAGGACTGAATGTAGAAACATCAGTACTTTATATTTGTCCACTGGTTCTAGTAGGTTGCTAAGGCAAAAAATAGAGAAACTTACTGCTGGAGTTATACAGGTAAATGTGGAACCTCTAAAATAATCACAATAGAAAACGCTGAAGATGGAAAGCAACATTAAGGCCACAACTCCTCCAACTGAAACTCCAATGATGGCATCTGCAGACCATGCTGAAAACGTTGAAAATGATAAGCAAATAAAACTTTGAGAGAAGCTAGGGTAAAGGCTTGAGTTCAACAACAATCTATTTCATGACCCCTTTAATGCAGAAACATGGAATTTCAATTCAGCACACAAGGTAACCAAACCAAGAAACTTGACATAGTATCAAAGAGAAGTATCAAAGAGAAGTACCATTATCTTAACATTTAAAGGAAAGTCTGAACAGATATTTCAAGATCTGGGTGTGAACACATGTTTCTTTAGAACCCAAGTCCGTACTTCCATCTGAAGCGCCATTACAGACCACCCATACATCTTCATCGTGAGTACAATCATTTACATCCCAGTTGCCATAGAAACAGTCAGCTAGTCTGTTTTCATTCCCAGTACAGCGCACATTAGAAAGCCAGATGGGCTGGGAGCTCAACCTATCACCTAAATCAAAATGGGAAACAAAGTAAAGGATATATGATTCATCATTAGGAATATATCCTTCACCCATCCAAAATAAATGAATGAAATGAAAATAAAGGAGGGCTCACGAAGTCTAAAACCTTCTTTAAGCCTTTCGTTATATGGATGTGTAATACTTTTTAACAAATCCACCATGCATCAAGTGAAATATGTTGGACTACATATAATGTAGCTTTTACCAGTTTTTCCTTGTATCTTGTACATGTAGTTTGTAAATGAGATACAAACTATTGGCCTCTTCATAATTCACTGGCAAAATAATTTTTCTTTCAATAAAAATACAACGGTTTCAAGGCCTCTTTTCTCTCACTTTCAAATACATTTTACCAAGTAACATCAAAACTAAACATTGAAGCAAGAATTTATTAATTTATTCTTAAGGGAGAGGAGATTCCACTCAATTGCCCGATTCCAAGTCTCAAATTCAACAACACTCTTAATGCTGGACAAATTGGAACCTTTGTCATACCTCCTGATGTAGAAACAGCAAAATCAAATCCCAGCTCCTCACACACGACATCTGCATCATGTTTGTCCCATCCAATGTCACACACTGTACCCCACTGCTGGTTGAAATAAACCTCCAAGAAGCCCTCATATTCTGAGCTCCCATCCACCAAACGTACCTCATGTACAAAAACTCCATCTGTTGGCAAAAGTAAACAAAAAAAAGCAAACCAGACAGGACCTGAGTAACAAAGGTTATCTTTCATTGATACGGGTGTGTAGTACTTAACATCTAAGCGAGCAAAAAAGTTACATTTGCAGAGAATGTTTTTCCAGAGGTTGTTTGGAATTAACTGATAAAAGAGAACAGAGAAAAATCACTCAAAAATGACATACTGCACCAGCAATGAATAGATGTACATACAACACATACTCAGTAGGTAGCACTGACTTTAACATTTACATTGTAACTAGCCTAATTTTAATGAAAGTGTTATAAATTCGAAATACAGTATCCAATCTGGCTTATCTAATTTTGATTCCTGTTAGTTTATTGATTCGGTTCATCCTTACATCGTGGACATTTTTTTTACCAAGAAAACTCCTGAATCCCACGAATTGAACTGGCAAGCCTGACCCAACTTCACATAAGGCCAAGTGTCTTAATTACCTAACCCTCTGCCCTACCCACTTAATCCTTGTGATAAGCAGCGCCAAGTTTCATCGGTTGATACTAAAGGGCCAAGAGGTGTTGGGATTAAGACACCGAAAACTGTTAGTACCTTTCATTGTTGTGCCTTCACATACCACTCCAGCATCTTTGTCAGGGTTACAGTTGAACCTGAGGGAGAGGTGACACAGTAATAAGCGGCTTTCATCCCATTACATCTCACGTTATCATACACAAGGGATCCGTAATTGCCTCTTCCAAACCGGGTATCAGTCGTGGCAGATACAGCAGCACCCAAGCCAAGCTCGCGACACACAACTTCAGCATCTTTGAGATCCCAGTTGCCACCACAAACTCTTGTCCAATCTGGAGTGAGAAACACCTCCACACGGCCTTCTAGATTATTCTTACCTCCAATGAGGCGCAAGTCAAACTGATCTACAGGAAATAAAAACAGCTTAACTTAGCTTATTAAACCATGGAGGTAGAAAGTGTGCTAAGCAGCACAAGTTTGGTAAGGAAATCTGCCAGAGATTTCTGAAAGCACTGCCACGATCCAACTGGGACCTCATTGTCCCAGATCAGAAAACTTGAATGAAACATGCATCATAATGATATTACAGAATATTCCAATTATTGGATTGATGAAAAAATCTTCTTACACCAGGCATGTTTCATATTTACACCTGTCCTACACCATTTGGAAGATAGTCACTTACGTTTTTATATACTGCATGACATATTTGAAGCATTTAAATTTTGCTGAACTCAATTTTTCCAATAACCCAAAACGTTCAGGTCACATAACTCCACTCCCCTCCATGGTCCATACAACAACACGTTAGTCCAAATCGAGACCTGTCAATGTCAGATTCCATTGTGTGAACATCATACCCACCTGGTCACACCTCTATCAATAGATTTGACAATTTTTATAGGAAAGAGTTCCATAGGTATGCCAGTAATTATTCCCTATATAGTGACTTATTAGCCATTAGAAAGCAAACACATGTCGAGAAAAGTTCAGTTTAATTAGAGGAGGAAATAAGTCGTTTACTGAGAAAACAGAATATTCAGACTAGTATGACATAGGTTTGTGCCGGGTGTCAAGTGGCGTCCGTATACAGTTATGGAACGCCAAAGAAAGCATGGTCCCAGAGAATCATTACCAATGAAAAACAAAACAAACAATCTGGGCTGAATCCGGACACCCCAAAAGTCAAAAGGCGATGGTCTGTGTATGCATATGAAACCATGAAAAGCTAGGAAAAGACGAGCTGCCTTCTTAGACATGGTCAAGTGATATAGTGTCTCCCGGGAAGTGTCTGGGCGGATCCGTGGTCGGACTTGAGCGACATGACCGGGGATTCCTCGAGACGGCCTACGGATGCACTCACCTTGCCCAATGCCACAACCTGAGAAATGTACAAGCAGGACAAAATTGACCAAAATCAACCTTGTAGTTCTCCATTCCCCCAGCATTTTGTCCAGTGCCGACAAAAGTGCCAGAATGTGATCATGAATGTTATCTCATCTGCAATCTTTCGAAGTAGAGATAACTATTCCCAGCGAGAAATCAGCAGCAGTGAACGGTGCACTGTATGCTCCGTTGAGTGTCGCTAATAATACTGCACGTATTTCAACGTTACACTGAGTGGACAGTACGCATACGTACAGCTCTACGGTGGTACATAATGAGCAAATTCTGTACGCAGTCCTAGCACCGACTGTCACAAGCCCGTACGACGTAGTCATAATTATTATGCTTCCCTGCATACATGTTCAGTGTACATGTATGTGGCTGATCATTATTCCAGATTATGCTCTACAAGACCTTCTCAGATCTCTCTTATTCAGTCATTTATTCCAGCCATACTTGCCGATTTGTTCACCCGTCTTCTTGCATGCGTGTAAAAATTGTATTTTCGTCCTTACCGCGTTTTTGTCAGGGTAGGATTTTTCTTCCATAAAGGGTGCGCGGGACTGGTTCTGGATCTGGATCAATACTCTGAAAAGCTCAAAATGAGCATCGATCAGAACGGAACTGGGGGTTGTCCATTCAAGCCGTAGATGGCTTTGCAGTGCTGTTTTGAAGCTAGATAACTTGTCCATAGAAGTCATGTGTTTTTGTGTTTCGGCAGCTTATTTCAATCTCTTGCCATCTTAGGAAAGAATGAATGGAGATGGGATTGTGACACAGACTGTGGGATGGCAAGTTGATGGTCTGGCAGCTCCTAGTGTTCATTCGTGTGCGAGATGATGGAGGTTCTTGCAAGTCAAGGAAATCTCTTACATGTATGTCCAGGTCAACACTGTGATGAAACATTTTGTGCAACATGACTAAGCTGCTGTACCGTCTTCTCTGCTGTTGGAGGGGAAGTTTGAGCTTTTTTAGCATTACTGTAACAGAGCTGGTCCTGCTATAATCTTGAGCAGTACGCACCGCCCTGCGCTGAACTGCCTCAATCTTGTCGGT